GTATGCCCCCTTTTGTTACAAATCTGACACTCTATCACAGCATTTGTCCTTGTAGAAGTACTCCCAGACCAAGAATTATTACCATTTGGCCGTGAGTTGCTGGAACCATATCCTCGTCCCCTGAAAGTGTTATTATTCCTGTAATTATTGCCTCTGTATTGACCCCCATGTGATGCTCGAGGCCCAAATTGAGCTCCTACATTAAGCTGTGCAGCATGATTATGTGGATCACTAGGATGACCAATAAAACCATATCCATACGACTCACCAGGATACATAAGAGATTGTGATGGTGAAAGATAACCTGCTGGATAGTGTGAAGGAACAGGATAAACAGGGTATTGAAATGGTGGTAAAGGCAAAGACTGATGTCCTGCAGTTTGAGGACCCTGAGAAGTAGAACCATATGGCACCGCAGTAATTGTTCCCGCAGTACTGGCAGGAATATGATTATGAGCCTGAGAATTTGAAGATGAAGCAGAACTTGAACCAGTGCTTAAACCCGAACCTTGAACATATAACGCAGACAAATTCTGAGACAAAGCATTAATCTCTCCTTCAATCTCCCTTTCTGCCCCCAATAATTGTGCTCGAAATTCTTTTAAAGAAATAGATGACTCTCTGGCCAAAATGACTGTACGAATAGTCCCATATTCCTTTGGCAACCCAGCAAGCCCAGCAATTATGACATCATTGTCAGATACAGATTCACCTGCAGCAGTGAGTTGATCCCTAATACCTTTCAACTTCAAGAGATACTTATCAATTGTATCAGATCCTTTTTGAATGGTATGTAACTCAGTTTTGAGATGGTTGACCCGAGACTTAGAAACAGATGCATATCTATCAACCAAATTGACCCACGCCTCATGAGCAGTCCTACAACCAAGAACATACTCCATCGCATCATCAGTTAAAGTGGCAAGAAGTAAACTAAGCAACGCCATATCTGTAGACTCCCAATCCATAAACGCCTCAGTAATCTCCTTTGTAACCCCAGCCGCTGGATTAACCACATACTTTGATGGACACACCGTTGTGCCATCGAAATGACCAAACAACTTATACCCCCTCAAAACAGACTGAAATTGAAATGCCCATTTGGCAAAATTATCATCTCTTAGTTTGATAGTAAGCATACCCAAGATTCCATCGACTTTAAAATTTGGACTACCCATGATTATCTTCAAGCAACAACAACTAATTACCAATTGAGATTATGCACAGAGACTGACACTCTGAGGAGAAAGACTAACACTTTCTTGAACTCACAACTTCTTGACTTAGAAGGAATGACACCTTCTTGAATGCATGAAAGAATGACACTTCCAGCAAAAACAATGCGTTCTAATTATCGCAGCAAATCAACATATACAAATCAACAAAAGAACCTAACTCTATCAAATCATTACTCTGCTTAAACTGAAAAAACGAAAGAACCAGAAACCACCTGAACCGAAATCGAAAAGAAAACCAATCTTGCTCCAATCGCACACCAATGAAGCAACGAACATCCACCAAACCGAACCCCCAATGAAGCGACGAACAGCAGCGGAGCACACCAGGATCACAATCGGTGACTAACGCACACCGGCGATGATACCATATTAACAAAGAGGAAGAAAAAAATAGCTTGTAAAAACTGGAAGAAGAAAGAAGCTACAGAGAATGATGAACTTTTCAATATATGTTTTGGAAGATGAAAAGATCCCTCCAAATGCCTTACACATTTCGTTTATGTAGAGAAAACTAACCATTACAAAAGTACAATACTACCCTTCTCATATTCTTTATCTTTCTAACAACCCAATACTACTTAACAACCTTACAACTGTCTAACCAACAGTTACAACTGTATAACCAACTAACCAACTACTATGGTTATTATTTCACACTTACGATTTCTTCTTTTGCACTTCTTTGTACTCATATTTTTCTTTTTCAACCAGCATATTCATTCGACATGGCTGATGTCTCTCTTATGTACAATTTAACTTTCAACACACATGCATAGCGTTTGTCATCCTTCTAGTACTACAAGAAGATAACTCTTGCCACCCAAAAAACTTCACATATGTGTCTTCAACCAGTAAATGTTGCTTGTTTCTGGATGTGCATAACAACAGGGCTTGTCTGCTATTTGGTGTCATGAAATGATCAATATGTGCTCCCGTTTTCGTTTCAATCTTCTGGCTGTCCTTCGTTCGTATGGCTTTCATGATTCACTCACTAACTCATGAGAGACCATTTGAAGCGGACAACTAAACATAAAAAAGAGAGGCTCAATTTTACAAGGGAAAGGGAAAAATGTTGTATTGTTATGGTCCTTGGTTTGGCTATGTTAGCTATACATAAGAGGAAAGTTTGGAAATTGAATGCCGTCACGCTACGTTCGAGATTCACTTCCAAATTTAGCATTTTAAAATGATTACGTTTTTAAAGTATAGATATATGATCTAGTATGACGACGCAGGTGAATAATTTCAACCGTGCATGACAAGTAAAAGATATATAAAGTACTTCAAGTTAAAAGAATTACACCCTGGGTATTTTAGAGAAGATTAGTGTGGCATTATTTTTGCTGGTAAATATTTGACATTTTGATTTTGCACCTAAACGATAGCATCTTATTACAGTGTTGGAATCTATTTATAATCCTACTGTGGTCTGAGACTCTTAATCTCATTTTAGGTGGCTTAACCTGTTGCTTAGTGGTAGGTAAATCAACTTTATAAACTACATTTGCAAATCATGTGATGTGTCATTAATAGAAAATATACACGTTAATCATTACTTAATAATAATTCAATTTACAGAATATGATTTAAATAGATGATCTTCCTAGCATTACCTTAAACTGATAGAGTGGTAATGACTTATGAACTTGTAATTAGTGCTTACCATGCTTTGAATAAACTCCATAATGTAACCAGTTATGTATTTGAGTAAACTCCATAATGTAATAAGTTATAATTTTTCTTGGTCCCATTTTAAAGAAACACGTCTCCACATAATTATAATGGTCAATGAGTACAAAAATATGCAAGAAATAAAATATTTGACGCCTAAAAAATCCTATTTAAGAAATACAACATCTATTAAGCATCGTATTTAACGAACTATTTTTACATAAAAGGTAGATAAAAAAGGAAATGAATAACTTATAAACATATAAGTACACATAAAATTAAGGGCAAAAGACTGTTTACTACCCTTATGTTTCGTGGTTTTCAACATTTAGTACATCAAGTTTTTTTCGTCCCAGAGTCATATCTAAAGTGTAAATTTTGGGACAATCTCATACATCCGTTAGTCAAACTGTTAAGTCTGCCGTTAACAGTGACGTGGCGCCCATGTGGACAATGACTGGGCGCCACGTGTCATCCACGTGGAAATTTAAAAAAAATAAAAAATATATATATTATAAAATAATAAATAAATAAATTTAAAAAAAAAACGTTTTTTTTTTCCTTCTTCTTCCTTCCTTTTCCTTCTTCTTCTTCTTCCTTTTTCTTCCTCTGACTGAATCTGGGTAGCAGATTCGTTTTTTTTTTCTTTTTTTTTCTTTCTTTCTTCTTCCTCCTTCCTTCTCCTTCTTCTTCTTCCTTCTTCCTTCTCCTTCTTCCGAATCTGCCCATTTTTTTTTTCTTCTTCCTCCTTCTTCTTCTTCCTCTTTCTTCTTCTTCCTTCTTCTTCTTCTTCTTCTTCTTCTTCGAATCTGCCCAGTTTTTTTTTTTTCTTCTTCCTCCTTCTTCCTCCTTCCTTCTTCTTCTTCTTCTTCTTCCTTCTTCTTCCTTCTTCTTCTTCTTCTTCTTCTTCTTCTTCTTCTTCTTCGAATCTGCCCAGTTTTTTTTTTCTTCTTCTTCTTCCTCCTTCCTTCTCCTCCTTCTTCTTCTTCCTTCTTCTTCCTCTTCGAATCTGCCTAGTTTTTTTTTTCTTCTTCCTCCTTCCTTCTCCTTCTTCTTCTTCCTTCTTCTCCCTCCTTCTTCTTCTTCGAATCTGCCCAGTTTTTTTTTTTCTTCTTCCTCCTTCTTCCTTCGTCTTCTTCTTCTTCTTCTTCAAATCTGCCCAGTTTTTTTCCTTTTTTTTTTCTTCTTCTTCCTTCTTCCTTCTCCTTCTTCTTCTTCTTCTTCTTCCTTCTTCTTCCTCCTTCTTCCTTCTCCTTCTTCTTCTTCTTCTTCCGAATCTGCCCAGATTCGGTTTTTTTTTTTTAATTTTATAATATATATATATTATTTTATAATTTTTTTTTTAAATTTCCACGTGGATGACACGTGGTGCCCAGTCATTGGCCACATGGGCGCCACGTCACAGTTAACAGCTGACTTAACAGTTTGACTAACGGATATATAAGATTGTTCCAAAATTTACACTTTAGGTATGACTCTGAGACAAAAAAAAAATTGATGTACTAAATGTTGAAAACCATGAAACATGAGAGTAGTAAACAGTCTTTTGCCCTAAAATTAAAGTATAAAGTCTACCGACATAAATTTATACAAATGGGAAGATCCTCAGTATCAAATCTTCATCTTACCTGCTCTAAACGTTGGGACAAAGATTTTTTGTAGTGTCGCATCATATTTGTTAAAAAATAAATCTTAGGAAACTTCCAAACACCAACATAAAACAATAAAGTAAATAACAAAAGTAATTATCAGTACTCAAGAAAACTATATTTTAAAAGAAAAAGAAAATGGAAGACGAAGACGAAGACTTTTTTTTTCGTCAATACTTATACAAAACTTTACGTACAAAGAAAATAAAAAAAGAATAAAAAGGAATAATAGCCTTTTGAGAAATGTCAAGGGACTCATTTAAAAGTGGAACTGACTATCAGCCAGCTCATGTATTTTTACAGTATTTATAATATTTGTACAAAAATTAACATTAAATTATAAATTAACAGAAAATTAATATAAATCACACTTTAAGATAGTCTTATTAACGTTTTCTCGTGCTTTCATTTTATTGGTTAAAATACCAAGTCAAACCCGTGGGAGTGAAATTATGTTTTGTGATATTGTCGATATTGATACATTTCATGGGAGAATCAAAGCCACCCGCGTGCGAGAGAATCAGACAAAAGAGAGAGTGTGCATTCAAATGACCAATTTATTCTCGATTTTGTAAGGATTCTTACCCCAAATAAATACCACAAGAATTTTGGTCTCTGGAATTCGAAGATTGCGTTGTTGGGTTGTGGGGGCAAAACTGCAAAAAGATGAAATCAAAGCAGCAGCAGAAGCAAGCAGATTTGTCATGAAAGGTACCATCAAAGGCACAAAGGGTCCGTACGCTTCTCAGTCTCCAGACCAAAAGCTTTTTTTGCTAAACTCTCTAATTTATAATTAATCTAGAGAGAGAAAGTGGGTTATTGAGGGGGGAGAGAGAGATAAGAGTTTGGAAGAGGATGTTTGGATTGAGAGAAGGGTCTTGCTTTCCGAGGGTGTTGGTGGGAGTGAATGTGGGTCTTGCTCTGGTTGATGGCATTATAGCATTTCTTGCATTTTATCAGGTTTGCTTTCTTCTTCCTTCTTATTTATTTAAAATTGGTTCTTGAGTTCAATTTTTGTGCTTTTGCATTTTCCCAATTGGGTTTTGTTTGGTGAGATTATATTGTGGGGAAGATGGCCATTGTGGGTTTTAAAGGAATGTTCTTTTGCGTGAAATTACTTGAGGAATGGGAATGGTTGCACTTTGTGGGGTTGAATGTTTTTGGATAATTTGAAATGGGCATTTTGTTTTATTTGAAAATTTTCGATATGGAGAATTTGCTTGTCATTTGATTTTCTTGTTGGACAGGTAATTGGGTTCTCTTTTTCTTAGTTAATGGTGAGTTTGGAAAGGGTACTGTGTTATGCTAGTTTAAGTGCCAATGGCATCTAAAAGTTATAGGATTGGCATTAAACTGAGAAAATTAAAGAATTGGACTCTTCCATTTTAATGAATAGTTCAACTGTGTCAGTGACTCGGTACAATTGGAAAGCTTAGTAATTCTGAGCTGAATGAATGCCATTCAAAATTTTCGTTAATTTTGTGAATGGATAGATTTGAGACCAACCAGTAACCATTTTTGTTAGAAGGAATGTATGCTACAGAGGAGGCAGGTGACCCTTTTTGTTTCTTAGGTTCTTTACAAGGCCCGACCGTAGTTATATAACTCTTCCTCTCAATATATATGAATCAATTACTACAGGGAAACTAGTGTCCAGGAATTATTTTGAAATTCAACAAATAAAATATATAATTAACTATTCATCAACGAAATCTTATGGGATTGTTAAATTGTTTGAGATCATGTTTTGAACACCTAGTGTAATGAATACGAATTACATGGTGCTCAATACTTGAGCAAAGGCTTTTAGCACAGGTTTGTTAGTAGTTATACCTATAAATGTTTGGTGTTTGTAGCTTAAATTTGTGTTCAGGATACTTGAAAGATCACATCATATAGCCTTACTAGTCCTCACTTTCAAGAATAGCCAGGGTATGAGACTCAGGCGTGACTTTAAGATTACTGCTAAATCCCCATTCTCAAAGTCTGTAACTTATTATCCTCAAGATACATTCTTATGTTTATGTAAATAATATGGATGTGACATCAACCTTTGGAAACTGGGGAAGCCCATGATTGATATCTATGAAGTTCTTTTCTTGAAATCTGAGTTTCTTTTACTTGCTGTTTCAGTTAATTAGAATTCACTTGAGGAATTCACAACTGGGTTGGACTCGGCAAAAAGTAAGTGACGAGTCATGCTTTACTATTCCTTATTGAAATTCAGATTGTATTTGTGTTTCTTCTTGTTTTTGTGTGTGTTTTTGCCTATATGCATGCGAATATGTACATAAATACATGCATATGTATATGCATACATACATACCAAGTTACCAACACATATTTATATGTGTGTGCAACTGTGCATGCATGATGAAGCTAAATTATAAAAGAAATTGTTAGCTGGCTGGATTAACCTATTGTTCTGGACATTTTGTTGTGAAGTATTTTGACATCGTAATTGTATGGCTTCCTGGGGATCAGTCAATGTGAAGAATGTATGACTCTGTTAAACAAATAGTGCTGTAGCTTAATTAGTTAGTCATAGAATCGGCAACCCCGAGGTTGAGTCCCATAAATTGCATGAACAGATATGGTTCCTAAGAATTTGGTAAAAAATTTAATTAGCTATCACAAGATCAAATAACTTATGCTTAAATATCTCACAGAAAGATGGGAGGAAAATGATGAATGGGTACATCATACATGTGCATGATGGCTATATATTATTAATTTAGTATTTGTTGCTGCATGTACGCATGAGCTGCTCAATCATACGCATGTGAATATGTATATGCATTTATGGTACAACTAATTTCTATATTGAAGCTCACTAAAGCATGCTGGCATTGTCTTAATACATACTTTTGCCTCGCGCAGGTTTTTCATCTGTTGATTGGCTCTTCTAATTTGGGTAAGAATTGCTTATTCCCGATCCCGATACACTATTGCCTTCTATTCTTTGTGTGAGATCTGATATTCTCGTTCAAGAATATTTGGCCTTAATTATGTTGCTTATCAAGAACCTTGATATTTTGGCCCTCTTTTCCTGGCTTTTGAATGACCTGGATTCTATATATAACTGATTTTGCAACAACCTGTTGGTTATTTATGAGTTTGGACTCACGAAAGTAGCCTCTTGTCGCATAATCAAGATACAGAACTGATGATACCATCTAACCTAATGATTTTTTCCATTAACTTATGACTTCGACAAACATATTTCATTTCATCCTTCATTCAATCTGAATTAATTTATTTGATCTTGTCCATGACAGGTTGCTTAATTTATTTTGTATTAACTCTTTTTGCTGCTTGCAAGGGGTGGCAATGTTGGTCTAACTCTTGTGGTTTTAGCCTCATGGGTATGCTTTCTCTTCCAAATACAGACTGTATATCTATCTTCTGTGCTTGATCAGAGTATCTGAATCGTACAAATTTTGCTTTGCAGCATTGCCCGAAATTCTGTTTTTTGCTGCATTTCTTCTACTTTTATCTTTCTGGTAAGTTTTCTATTTCCTTTTTTTTTTCTTTTTGATTTTAAATAATCCAAAACTTAGCTTAAATACTTTCAAGAAAATGTCGAAAAAGTGTAGTGAGTGATCTTAGCTTTGAGGGACGAGCGAGTATGATGGATGAGATGGAAAAGTGCACTGCGGGTATTGTGTGACCATAGAATACCTTTCAAGTAAAAAGTATAATACTAACATCAAACATTGTGTTGGGCAACTAGGCAAAAACACACCCACAGGATGAGGATAACGGAAATATGGATGTTAAGATGAATAACCAGCATTCCTTGAGAAGTATATATATAACAAATCAGCATTTATTGAGACGTATACTGCTTCCATATACTTGTATATTATGAATCAGCAATTCAGCATATAGATGATATTACCCATTACTTTTGTTTTTTTTTCCCCACTTTTGTTAAAGTGTTTCGGTAATCATTGCTTATGGATTTTGAAAATACATGTGGCTTTCATGGATCTTTGCCTGGCCTGTTTCTTTTCAGGCCATTCTATTATAGTATTATTTTTTTTGCCATCTGAAAATAGAGACTGGAAATGCACTTTTATATGAATGAAGATACATTGACCTGTCTTTATCTGAATATTTCCTTTCTCAAGTTGATACTCCTATTGAAAAGATTGTTTCTCTTGAGCTATATTTGACATTTATCTGGGGGCTTTTATTTTACCTTTAGGGTTGACCTGTGCCATCAGGCAGATGATGAGGATGAGGAGGATGAAGGGAGTTTTCGGGAAGCTTTGTTGGAGAAGACTTTTAGCAAACCGAATTCATTGGACCGAGATAGTTATCGAAACTGTTTTCCTCTGCGATTTGTTCATATTGGAAGCCGCCAGAGAATTGTAATTATGGTATTGCCACAGTTCAGAGTTTCCTGTTGTCTACTCGAATATGATATCATGTTATTCCTTGGCGTTGCATTTCTTCTCTTATGTCATGTTTTGTGCAAATTATTGTTAAAGTTGATTAACTTCATAGTTGTCTACCAGGTGACCGTGCTAGTTTTCGTTATAATGATAGCAAGTGCAGTGATAATTTGGATCGGGATGGGAAAAAATTCTATTGATTCTGCACTGGTGGCTCGGGTATGGAAACGTTGCCTAATTCTTGATTCTTAGATTCCTTTTTTCATGTGTAATCACCTTCTATCGTTGGTATGCTGTAGTTCCAGTTTTGCTATATATAGATGCTAAAATAAATAAGGTTTTGCTGCCTCAGTTTTGTGTTCAGACCATAAAATAATTCTTTGAATGCAAACTATTATTATTGTAGTATAAGTATCTAAAGTGTGTATACCTAGTTTTTGACGATTTGAAGAAGGTTATCACTGTTGTGACCAAATATGCAGCTTTCTTTGTACTTATTTCTTATTAACGAGTCCTTAACCCATGGTGCAATGAATTTTTTCATTATCCAGGTATATGTGGATCTCTTTGCAATAGCTATACTAGTATTGGGAGGAGCATTAGCGTGTTATGGCGAGTAACTATCCTTCACACTCTTGTACTTTCTTGCATTTTTTTATGTGCAAGTGCAACTCCTCCCTAAATTTTTAATAAGGGAGGAGCACATGATGACTATTTTGGAGTGTCAATAACACCTCTACAGACTTATCCTTCAATCTGAGGTGACATTTTGCTCTGTCTTGGATTTTCAGGGCTCCTATTATGCCTAAGGATGAGAAATGTTAGATCAGAGAGAGCTTCTTCTGAGATGTGGAAGGTATTTAATCTGTTGATGTTATATAATATGTTTATTTTGTTCTTTGTTTTCTTGATTTCTACAAATTCATGTTGTATATAATTTCATTTGTCTGTCCATTAAAGTATCAGATCGTTGGGCAATAATTGACGAACATATCAGTGGCACTATGCTTTATCACTTGCTTGCATTTTTTTTACAGGTTGCATGTCTAGCTGTTGTTTCCATATTATGTTTCACCTCAAGTTCTTTCGTGGCTCTGTTAACTGATATTCCTGTACGTACTCAATTGTTGTTAGCTTGAATTTTCTTTTTCTTTTTCACTTACCTAATTCACCATATCGTTTTGCAGATGTTTTACGATTGGCATCAACTGCATATGAATGATGTTTATACTTCTCTTTTACTGATTTTATATTACTTTGTAGGTAGGTAATTCTGAATTTCGCTTATTGTTTCACGCTCAAACGAATCCTGTTTCTTTTTATCTAATGCCAATCGACAATACGACAGTGCTTTCAGTTTATAATGTTTACATTGTTTTTTCAGGTTCATCAATACCCTCAGCCTTGGTCTTATGGGTCGTGAGAGAATTACCACCCTCAATAACAGCTAACATACGAGAAGAACCATCAACAATAACCTTTGTCAGTGGCGGTTCCACAACATTACAACATCCTCAAAGCTGGACAGCTGCAATGAGCTTGCGGAACCAGGTTCGATTTCTTCTCCATAAACATGCTATTCATTAGTGTTTAACGACCGCTAACCGAGGGTAAAAACCAACAATTTATGTCCTATTTACCAATGCTTAACCATATATGAATCAGATTACAGACTAATCTCAGTCTTTAATCAGTAGTGTACTGAATAGAGTTAGGGTTGCATTCTTTTTCGCTTTTGAAGAAAGTAATTCTTAACTTCTTACGGAAGTATATTCCGACTTTACACTGAATTCGCCATGGTAGCTAGATTTTACAGTAGCAGACCTGTTTGAAATCTTGGTTTGTTTCGTAGATAGTCATTCAGGTTTATGCTCACTAATTAAGTTTGGTTTTCAGGTGCAGATATCAAGAGCAAGTCCCATATAACACTTCCCCCGAATGGAAATAGAAGAGTCTTACTAACGTTCCTGAGTGCGAAGCATGTCCTTGCTCTCGAAATTTATGAAGTGAGCTGGAATCAGTGAACAACAGACCAGATAACGACTGTGACATCCTTGACCGCAGTTTTGTCCGGAAATTTGTGTACAGCCTGAAGTCGCCGTTGCGATGGTTTTTTGACAATTCAGGGATGTAAATAGCAACAATATGCTAATTAAGGGATTCTTTTTGCTACAAAAGTATTTTGATGTGCTTCATTAAATTTTCATTGAAGTTGAAAGAAAAAGATTACGCCCTTGTGTTTGTAGCGTAAAAGTGGAAGTTGAATCACCATCAGAGGAGAGATAATTGAAACGTAAGTTGATGGCGAATTTACAGATTGGACAACAGAAATCTAGAGTTGGACTACAATAGAAATCCAGTAAGAGTGATCGGCTGTATGAATCTTAGATTGCCATTTTGCTCGATTTTGCGCCAAGTTTTATGTAACTCCAGGTACGCCACTGTCAGTAAACATATCTTTCCAAAATCTTAACGCTGAAAAACATAACGACAGTCACTTAAGCGCCGAAACCAATCCAAACAATGTATATGTACATAATTCAAATCAAGCTAAAGGGAACCGGCCCGAAACTCCTCGAATCATGCGAGTCATAGATGTTTCCCTCCACCCAAACATGTCCCTGAGGAACTTATTACCAACACCAACGACGTTATAATCTCCAAAATCCTTAAAAAAACGAAAAACAAAAACGAAAATGTTGAAAACCAAAAAAATCCAGAACAAAACTGTTGAAAGTGTTGAGTATATTTTGCCTCTAGAGTCAGCTACCATGTTCTCTAGGGTTAGTCTTTTCCTTGATTTAAGGAAGATGATTGATTGGTGAAAATTGTTGTTGTAAGGCTTAGACTAGGCTACTTTGTTGTAAGGCTTAGACTAGGCTACTTTCTTTTCCTTGATTTAAGGGAGATGATTAATTGATGAAAGTTGTTGTAAGGCTTAGACTAGGCTAGTTAGCTTTGCTTTTTTCTTTGTCACTTTTCTTTCTTCTTTCTTTCTTCTTTCTTGCTTTCTTCCTCCTTCCTCATATATACCTGAACCATTGTACATTAAACTTATGAAATATATTACAAATTAAAGCCATAATTTCTATATGGTATCAGAGCATGTTCATTTGTAACCTGTCTTTGCCATTCTTGCTGCTGCAAATTTTTTCTTTCAAAGTCTAAGTCATGGCTGAAGAAAGTTCTGTGAACCATGATGAGGAAACCCAACATAGTCTTTCTCCAAACTTCTCAGACGTTGAGGTTAACACCCATCAACGTATATGTTCAGTTCTCTTAAACGAGTTCAATTATCTTCCTTGGTCCTGAGCTGTTTCACTAGCTCTTGGAGGCAAAGGGAAGTTAGGGTTTGTAAATGGAAGCATGGAAGCTCCAGACCGTTCTTCCTCTACATACGATGCATGGCTCTGCAAAGATCAACTTGTCATGTCCTTGCTGCTCAACACCATGGAGAAACATGTTGCTGAAATTTTTAGCTATTCTAATTCCCGCACATGATCTTTGGAAAACTTTGCAGGATATGTATGGAAATCAAAACAACTATGTGCGGGTTTTCCAATTAAATAAAGACATTACTGGTGCTCAACAAGAAGGGAAAACATTTGTTCAACACCTTGGGAGTCTCAAAGCCATGTGGAATGAGTTGGATGTATATCTCCCACATACCACAGATCCTACCATTCTCTTAAAACGAGCTGAGGAAGACAAAATTTATCAGATGTTAGAGAGTTTGAGCTCTAAGTACGAGGACCTAAGGAGTCACATCTTGATGAGTCAAGACCTACCTACCTTCAATAATGTTTGTCCAACTATCCAACGAGAAGAAGCAAGGAAGAAGATTATGAATGCTGATCACAGCCCCAGATTGACTGAGACTCGGGCATATGCATCAAATTACAAGAATTCAGAAGCCAAAGTATACAAGGGAAGAAACACACATCTAAAATGCAAATATTGCAATGGTGTTGGTCATGTGGGAGACAAGTGTTGAGAACTTCATCCTGAACTTAAGCCTAAGTTCAGCAAAGATGGAAAGATAATACCAAGGTCCTCACAACAATTTCAACCTCATTTCAAGCACAACTTGCTAATGCTCACCCTCCTACCATTTCACAAGGATCCATGGAGTTCATTGCCAATCCATTGTCATTGATAAATGAATTTGTAGCTTACCTACAAAGTATGGGACACGGAGGAGGCTGACATGGTCAAGGTAATGAAGAGGGTAGTCACACAGCTATGTTGGGACAATTTTCCAGCTTTCTTGCTAGAAATGAGAAAGTTCCAAAGGGAGAAGCATCAGGTATACTCAAAGCCTTCACTACTGCCCTATTAATTAGTACTAAAATTGATTGTTGGATAATTGATTCAGGCGCCACAGATCATATGACAAACAAAGTTACAAATTTACATCATTTTTAACTAGTACTAAAACTGATTGCAAATGGAAAAAATGTCTTAGTTTTGAGAAAAGGAGAAATAAACTTACTCTCTCAAAAAATACCTTCCACTGCCCTCTATGTACCAACCTTTCCTTTCCAACTTTTGTCAATTGGAAAGATTACCAACACTCTAAACTGCCGTGCTATTTTCTCACCAAATAATGTGATGTTTCAGGATGTTCTCACCATGAAGATGATTGGTGAAGGGGTCTTCATAAATGGACTTTACTACCTGTGCAAGAATGCATGTTTCACTTAGGCTTTTCAAGCTCAATCGAAATCCATAGATGAAAACCAACTTTGGCATAGGAGATTAGTTCACCCCTTTGAAGTTGTCTTGTCTAAACTGTTTCCAAATTTTTGTAACCCCTATCCTATTTGTGATACTTGTCAATTTTCTAAGTTTACTAGGCTACCATTTGGTAATTCAATGTCTAGGACAAGTAAACCTTTTGAAATGGTACACACCAATGTATGGGAACCTGCAACTGAATCAATGGAAGGGTTTAAGTACTTTATTCTATTTGTTGATGATTTCTCTCGAACAAGTTTTCTATATCTTATGAAATCAAAGAGTGAAGCCCCAACCATTTTCAAAGACTTTCACATGCATGTTAAAACACAATTTCAATCAAACATTAAGGTTTTAAGGTCAGATAATGGCACTGAATTTCTATCCAACAACATGCTTCAATACATAAGTTCTCAGGGTATCATACATCAAAACAGCCTTGTAGGGACTCCTCAACAAAATGGAGTAGCCGAGAGGAAAATAGAGATCTCTTGGAGAAGACTCGTGCTCTCATGATTCACATGCATGTTCTAAAGAAATCTTGGTCGTTTGCCATCCTTACTGCCACTTATCTTATCAATCGACTTCCAAGTCGTGTGCTAGGGTTTAAATTTCCCTATGAAGTTCTCAAGGGGAGGAAAATAGATTTGACACACTGCAAGGTGTTTGGTTGTGTGTGTTTTGTTCACATCCAAACCTTGAACCGTGACAAACTAGATGCTAGGGCAACCAAGTGTGTGTTTATGGGATACTCGGCCACCCAAAAGAGATACAAGTGCTTCAATCCAGTCACTAAGAAGTGCACAGTTTCAAGAGATGTGAAGTTCGAAGAAGACTGTCCCTATTTTACAAGTCAGGAGGAGGATTTAGTTGACATGTTCCCACTCCCTCAAAACTTTAATCATCCGATGTTGGAAGAAAGATCAGTCACTGTGAGTCCAGTAAGAGTGAAGAAATGCCATACTCTGATCATTCTCAGTCCACTACAGAGTCTCAAGTGATTAAGAGAAACCCTCATCGAATTAGAAAACCTCCAGCTAGGTTGCAAGACTATGTTACATATGCCTCACGGCATCCTATCACTGAATGTATCAGCTTTAGTAAGTTCTCAACATCTCATGCTGCATTTATCAGTGAAATTGATAAGCACTGTGAACTAAGAAGCTTTCAGGAAGCTTCTCTTCTCCCATAATGGAACCAAGCCATGACAGAAGAGCTTCGTGCACTGGAAGAGAATCACACCTGGAGTCTAGTTCAACTACCACCAGGAAAAAAGGTTGTTGGAAGTCGTTGGATCTGCAAGACAAATTCAAAGCTGATGGATCTATCGAGAGACATAAGGCTAGACTTGTTGCTCGAGGTTTCACCCAAACCTTTGGAGTAGATTATAAGGAAACATTTGCACTGGTGGCCAAGATGAACTCAGTTAGGGTTTTACTTTCAGTTGCAATCAATTGTGGGTGGTCACTCTACCAAATGAACGTGAAGAATGCTTTCTTTCACGGAGAGTTGCTGGAAAAAGTGTATATGTAACCTCCTCCAGGCTATGATGGTATCAAAGGCAACATGGTTTGTAAATTGCACAAGATAATATACGAATTGAAACAATCACCAAGAGCTTGGTATGCCAAGCTAAGTTATGTTCTGGAAAAGGCTGGATTCGTGCGAAGTAATGTTGATTCTTCGTTATTTGTGAGAACTGGCACCAGTGGGAAGTTGGTGGTCCTCATCTACGTTGATGATCTTATCATCATTGGAGATAATATCGTGGAGATTGAGGCACTAAAACTCTCACTACATCAAACTTTCGTTATCAAAGATTTGGGGAGGTTAAAGTATTTTTTGGGGATCGAAATGGCAACATCTTCAAAATGACTGTTTCTACATCAACAGAAATATGTATTGAACCTTCTTTAAGAAGCAAAAATGCTTGACTGCAAGCCTGCTATCACTCCCGTTGACTGTAAACTGAACCTCAACATAGATGGAGAAGCCATGCATAATGTAACCTACTATCAACGATTAGTAGGCAAGCTTATATACCTCACCATCACTCGTCCAGATATCACTTATGCAGTGAGCTTGGCTAGTCAGTTTATGCACTCTCCCACTGTTGATCACCTTAACATTGTTAAGAGAATCCTTCGTTATCTCAAGGGTTCAATAGGGCAAGGAATCATAATGCACAACAATCGATCAACTGTCATTAGTGGCTACACAGATGCAGACTGGGCATGTAATGTAATTGATAGGAAATCAACCACAAGCTATTGTACATTTGTTGGTGGAAACCTTGTCACATGGAAGAGTAAGAAGCAACAGATAATTGCTCGTTCCAGCGCAGAGGCTGAGTATCGATCCATGGCAGCCACTGCTTGTGAACTCATTTGGCTTAAAGAGCTTCTTTCAGATTTAGGGTTTCCTAGTTCTACTCATATGTTGCTTATGTGTGATAATCAGGCAGCCATGCACATTGCTGCCAACCCTGTGTTCCATGAAA